AAAGACAGGGCGGGAATTCCTGAAAACATTCCAGCTGGAACAGAAAGACGAAATGTATTTCCATCTCACTCAACTGATGTCTTGGATAACCTCATCAACTTCGCAGGTCCCTTGAGTTTATTCTGATGAACAGAAAGCTGTAATTAATTTTGAAAAAGATTTGATTTTAGAAGACCTGTTCAGGCAGTTCATTTTAAGTTCAATATTGTGGGTGAGCATGCTAGAACCCTGAAATGTTATTACCACACCTGAGCCTACAAACGACCACTGGTTATTGGTATCTCAGTACCATTCAGCTTACCCAGAAGACCATCTTAAGGAAACATAGTAAGAAACATGTACTACGTTGACAGGTTTACATGCTAACTTAACTCTTCTACAAGAAATAAGAGCTGGCACGTATTATTATTTCTATTGTAGACCTCCTATCCCACAATCATATGCGAGTTCTATATACATATATACGTGCATACATACACACACACACACACACACACACACACACACACACACACACACACACATAAATATATATTTAAAAATACACACATGAGGATACAAAAATAAGAGAGATTTTCCCAGGGTTACACAGGCACTTTGGTGCAAGGTAAAGAGCTGAACATGGGCCTCCTAAAGTCTTTATCACACAACATCCTTTCATTAATGTTATTAGAATTCCAAATGCCAGTTTGCACTTTGAATTTATCCCCTTCTCCTCCGAATTAATGTCTAATATTCTGTGCACACGCACAGAATTCAGGTCAAGTTGAAGTCCCTTTGAAAATTCAGCCTTAAATAAATAAGCATCATTTTGTGAAGAAAAAGTTGATGGTTATTGACAAAATGTTGTAGTCTACCTTGTTACTATTCATGATTAAGGAAAGTAAATATTGTCTGAGGTCTAATGAGAATTCCAATGCAATAAAGTCAAGTGTGAAAGGTACAATCAATAAATGATGATGCAACAGTACTCATTTGTAGTTTTCTTACTGTTTAGTTCATGGTATTTGGTGATGCTTGAAAATGGAGTGTTAAGAAATTAGTGTTACAAGGATTAACGTTCAGATTTTATTTCTGATACTGTTATGATGCCACAGTCATTACATTCTGAACACTAATTAGCATCTGATTTCTTTTCCCACTAGTTAAAGATTGCAAACCGAAAAATTATGGAACAAAAATACTAGGGAAACAAACATCAGTGTTACCCGTCAACATTCACAAATTAAAACCCTTAGCTTCCACAGCTAATATTATGTTCCAGGAGAAAGTACTGCAAAAAAGAACTGTATTTTCCTCATTCTTTCTTTAGGTTAGCATTCGTGCTTGAAGGTATACTGAATTTATGAAGAAAGTGTCTTTCTAAATGTGTAACAGACTTCAAAGTTCAAGATGGAATTTTTGTATCCTATCTATGGCAGGCCTATCCACTAACAGTTTGGTTCTGGATTTACTACAAGCCTTGGATATAGAGAAGCATATTGCCCTATGAAATAATCAAGGACTAAATCTCAGTTACTCAGTTATTTCTGCAAAGGAACCAATCTCTTCTAGTCCTTCATCACACAGACTAATTTTTCTCCATGTTGGCTCCACTGAATTGGCAGGTACATAGAGGTTGCTCTCTGCCCCTGCGCCATGACGTGGGATAGCGATACCCTGTGCAAGGAAAGGAAGGGACAATTTATGTCCCCTCTCTCCTCTCTGCCAGTGTGTTCTGCAAGTGGCAACTTGTGCAGGCACATCGTGCGGTCTGAAGATACTGAAGAGATGTTTGAGCATTCTTTGCAGCTCTCTGTATTTTCTACAGAAACCACATATTGGCTATGTGAGCTTCAGCAATCTTCAGTACATTGCTCTGAATATGCAGCTTTGTTGACTCCCATGGCGTTTATCCTTACACTGCAGAGCAAGGCTTAGGACATGGATAGAAAACAACAAGTGACTCTGTTCTAAAATATTAGTATGGCATTTTTGTGTTAAGGTGACGTGGCTTTTGATGAAAACTAGGAATATTTACTGTAAAACCTATCCAAAGGGCAATTACAGTTCAAACCAGAAGTACCTCAAAACTACTGCTGATCGTGTATGGTAAGAGATCCCATCCATTTCATAATGCAGCGGTACAGTTCTTCACACATTGCTAAAAGCAATAATTACTTTCAAATGTTATTTATGTCTCCCATAACGTGACTGCTTTATAAATTCACTAAGTAAATGGATCGTGAAGCTAAACTTAACACTCATATTTAATATATTATAGATACAATAAAAAATCCCTTCACAGAATATTACCCATCCAGACAAAGTAGACCTCTAATCCATGCAACAAATTATTTTCTTGCAAGAGGTTTCAATGGAATGAGGTGGGAATATTTATTGAGAACACTGAGGGAATGGGCTGTAACACTGTAAAGAGAATGGCAGATCTGTTTTCCATCAAGAGTCTTGTTATCAAAACGCAGTATTTGCAGAGCCACACAAATGACTTGACTCCCTCAGTCAAGTAGAGTGAGATCTCTTGACCTATTGCAAGTGAACCTGCATACCAGCAGCGTCTTTAACTTTTGGCAACTTACTTGTTTATTTTTGTTTGGAAGCAGCCAGGTAAGAAACCTAGTGCTGAATGAATACATTATAATATTGCCCCAGCGTATACACAGCCAAATGAAACATAATTATGGGAAATAAAACATGACATTTCAAATCAGCTCACTAATAAAGTCTAAAAATATATGAAAACCTATCATATTAACCAGCAAGAACTGCTCTTTCACTTAAGGGATAGCTGGGCAATTATTCAAACCTGTACAAGACTGGATTGTCAAGTGAAATAATAATACAGAGAATCTCAGGATAATGAGATAGATCTTAAGGCCATTAGCAGTGGCTCTTATTATAATACTGGCCAAGGTTCCCTGAGAGAGAGAAAGAGAGAGAGAGAGAGATTGAGAGAGAGAGAGAGAGAGAGAGAGAGAGAGAGAGAGAGAGAGAGAGAGAATATATAAATAAAACTAGTAGGGAACTAGTTTCAAGTTGTATATTTGAAGAGCTCAGTACTTTCCTGCAGAGAAAGCTGTCTATCAGGTAGGACTGTGAAAGCAGTTGGGCTTTAGAGACTTAAATCCCTGAGGGCAGAAATTAAAACAAAAAATAATTTGAAAATTGAGCCACACTGAAATCCATACGGTTTATATTAAGAATTTTATCCTAGAAAGGTTTTAAGGCCTGGTTTCAAAACCCACTTGTTTTCTCATTCCTGATTCTTCCTCTCTCCTTCCGAAAGCAAATCAAACATAAGCAAACCCACCTGTTAATAATGCATATCTTGTCTGACATTAGCTTTTACAAGAAGACTTATAGCTTTGGAAGTAAGGGCTTTTAAGAGTGGAAATGGAGGAAGAGATGACTTTTTCCCTGTAAAACAAGTCCTGCTGATGAGACACTTGCATACACATGCTTCATTATCTCACATTTGTTTGCTTTTTAACCCTTACAGGAACAGGAAAAAATCAATAGCTGATGATCGTAGAGAAGCTAGCTAATCCCTGGCAAAACAGCGGTCGAGCTGTAATATATAAGGTACAGTACGGTTAATGTGTCAGCAGTTGTCGTGGATTAGAAATACTGCTCGTTTCAATATTCTCCTGATGAGTCTGTCCTAGATACAAAGGCCTCCAAGTGCCAAACTGGAGCCAGCTCTGACGTGCCTGGCATATTCAAGGAACTCTCTTCCTCACCTTAATGAATAACTCGCCACCGACCGCTGCCTCTTAAGCTTTCAAGCAAACCCGGATCTCCTGAATGCTCAGCAGAGCTCAGGCAATTAGACTAGGGTTCACAGCGGTTTAAGCCAGAACGCTGATTAAAACCTTGCAAATCAAACATTAAAAGGCTGATTTTACGCTGGTTTTGCTTAGGCTCCGATTTGAAGTTTACTTCACCCGGTAGCCAAAGATACGCTGAAGGTTAATTGACGGAGGAAGAGTAAATAACAGCTGATGCTACTGGCCCTAAGTGTGCGAGGCGTTGAGGAGTACTCCTAACCGCCAGTGTGCCGACGCTGACACGCTCATTTGTCTCACTAGCTTAGCGTCATTCGGGCTCAGATATGTGATCAAATTACCACAGCGAAAGTGGTTTAGGCTTATGTGTTTTTCCTTGTATTGTATACTTGCACATGGCTCCGATGGCACCAAGTAAGCCTTTAAATTGTGTTAACTTGATCATACATCTGAGTACCCAGCGCGGTAAATTGGGATAGGTGGCTACAAAGAACGGAGATGATGGCTTTAGAAGAGCAATAGCTTCCACGGAGAACAGAGACATCCAGCAGAACTGCTGCAACTCAGTCGACCAGGTTTAGAGCATAAATCTCTCCCCTTTCCCTTTCTACAGACTCGAGGGTTTGCAACCTGCACAGCCAGCCTGACAAAAGGCTTTCGGGGGTTCTGATTTTTTTTTTTTAACGGGAAAGAATAAACAAAAATCTTATAGAGCAGCTGTTTGTGATTTTTCAGCTACCTGCTGGGGTTCGTTTCACTTAAAGTCCACCTAGATTTTAAAGAAAAGAGACATTCAGAGGGTCACTATCCTGCAAGGGTTCGAAATCTGTATGGGGTTTGGACGTTAACATTTAAAAGCAGTCCAAATACCCAGCTTCAGAAAAGTGCTGCCGAGCTTGTGCCTTAACTCCTTTTCAAGAGAGATGTGGTGAGGGCTTGCACATACCAAGGTACAATTGATGTAAAAAGCAGGAAGAGTTATTGGACTAAACATTTTTAATAGAGATTCCTTGTCTTTATACAGAGCTACACAACAGAACTTAATGGCTTGTGGCAAGTAAATAATTTACACATGGACTGTGTCTGAATACAAACGTATACATAAAATATCCAGACTTAATGAAGCCTTCAGGGTGTTTTTTTTTAAATCGATGTAATTGATTTTGCTGATAGGCCGGCATTTATACTTTTGCAAGCTAGACTTTTATTTCACCCTCACACGTGGCACATTCGCGACGTTCGGGGGAGGTATGGCAAAGGCTGCAAACGAAATCGGAAACTAAGTAAACAGATCGTAGATATTTTTAAAGCGCCTAGGGCAGGACGCTCAAACGTGAGCGAACAACGTGAGCGAACAGCGTGGCTCGTTTAGAAGCTACTTATGAGACGAGGTCGGCCTTTAAGGAGCGCTAACTACGATTCACCGCGTCTTGTAGCGCTGGAGCCCGGTGACGGCGGTGGCAACGCCTCCGCCACTGAGCTTCTCGGCCTGTTCGACTTCAGCTGCTTGAGCTTGGTTTTGGCTCGAAGTAGCGGGGCAGGGGGGGAAAAAAATGTCAGGTGTTGTGACTAGCGGTGGAGGAGGCTGGGCCGACGCG